AATAATTTGGGAAGAACTAACATTTATGATTAGACTTCCATTATCCAGGCTTTCATATCTTTTAGTAAAATTTTTTCATTTTCTTCACATATATTTTAGATATTTTTCATTAAGCTTATTCTTATTTATGTGTTGTTTATACTGTTCAGATTTCTCATTGCACTTCTGTCATTCCTGTTTAAATAAGGAATATTTACAGCTTTTCCTTTGTAGTATTCTTTTATTAATTCTAGTGGTTTTGTAGAGTTGTTTTACTTTTTTTTTTAAGATTTTATTTTTTAGAGAGAGGGAAGTGAGAGAGAAAGAGAGGGAAAGAAACATCAGTGTGTGGTTGCCTCTCACACACCCCATAATGGGGACCTGGCCTGCAACCCAGGCATGTGTCCTGACTGGGGATCAAACTGGCACCCCTTTGCTTCACAGTCCAGCACTCAGTAAACTGAGCCGCACCAGCCAGGATCAGTTTACTTATTTTTTCATGAAAATGCATGATTACAGTGTTTGACAAGCATAATATTTGCTTCAACCTAGGAATGTTTTATCTTATTTTTAACTTACTAAGGGTATTTTTTTTAATCAATAGTGGGTGTTGAATTTTATTAAGTGCCATTTTTACATTTACTGGGGTGACTATATATATTTTCTTCCATATCAATGAATAAGTTAAACTAAACTAATGGTATCACTAAGGATGAATAATCTTTGTATTCTTGTATTAAGCCCATCATGGTTACTGTATATGAGTATTTTGCTACTTTGCTATTTATAGGTCATATCTACAGTTATATGTGATAATGGTCAATAGACTTATGTCTGTGATATATTTGTCTGGCTTTGTATCAGACATATGATAAATAAGCCTCTAGATGTTTCATAAGCTTTCCATTTTTCTATACTTCAAAAAGTTTTGCATAACAAAAGACATTTGTTTCTTAAATGATTTGTATAACTTGCTTAATAAAACCATCTGGAGCTTGTGTTATTTGAGAGGAGAGCATTGAATTTTTCAATGTAGTTTATTATTCAAGTTTTTAACTTACCATTGAGGTAATTGTGAGAATTCATACTTTTTAGATAATTTGGTACTGCATCTATATTTTTCAATTTATTTATAAAAACATGTCTTTCTATAAAAATGTCTCAGTCTGTGCTTGTATTCGCTTATCCCTCATTTTTAAAATAGGTTTTCTCCTTTATACCATGTCAAGAGTGCCAGAAGTATACTAAGTTGCCAATCTTTACAATCATCTTGCATTTATTTATGAAGTCTACAGATTTTTCTTTTATTAATTTTATCTTTGATTTATTCTAATTTCATTAGTCTTTTTTGTTTTCTTAGCTTCTTTAATGTAATGCTTAGTTATATTTTCAGCTTTTTTTGTTTTCTAATAAATAATACAGTCTTCTTATAAAAGATTCTTGGCCAGTTATTTTTGATATAGCTTGTTTTCACTGACATTCATTTATTGTGACTTATTTTTTTAATTATTAGAGTAGGAGTGGTATATTTTTTAAAAGCTGAAAGTAGCCAAATAAGCAAGAATGAGAAATATGATTTGTTATATCACCCAGATATAACTACTTAGCCTTTTATAATCAGTCTTTATGAATATAAAAATTAACACAAAACAGACTGTGTATTCTCTCTTATAGCCTTCTTTTCTACTTGATTTTATTTCACAAATTATCTAAATCATTATATACTCTACTATTACATCAATTTTACTTGCTGCACTGTACCACTTCTTATTTAAATATTTCTTCAGCATTGAATATTTAGGCTGTGTCTACTTTTCATTCTAACACTAAGATGCTTCATGAGGGACAAACACAAACAGACTAAGGGTCTTAAAGATACTTCTGGTCAAAAAATGAAAACATAAATAACTAAATCAATTATTAAAGCCATATGAAAGAGGTTAAGATAATGCATTCAAAACAACATTTCTCTTTATCTTAGACATTGCTAGAAGTGAGAATAGCCATTCAGAGAACCACGGATGGTGGCTAAGGTGAGTCAACCACAGAAATAGATAAAGAACAAAAAGGGAGTATTTATTGAGCACTTTCTGTATGCCAAGCACTATGTTAGGTGCTCTTATACCCAATATCCATGATCTGACTTATTAAATGTTTTGTTTTTAAAAAATCAAGTTAGGTATTAGTGTTCCTATTCTTTTCTTAGGAAATAGGGTCTCAGAAAACAGGATAGAAAAAGCTCAAATCCTGGTGGCGGAACTAAAATTTAAATGTAAGCCTGTCCTTCCCTAAAACTGTGTCATCTTGTAAAGTAAGATAAATATATCTACATTAGTTGTTCATTAAAATGAACAACTTTAATTTCTTTATTTTGGGCCTTAACTAGGCCCAATTGATCAGAGGCAAATTAATACATGATGCATTACTAGTGCTTTAGTTAACATGAAAGGGATTCTGGTTATTTTAATTTTTTTGCTGATATATGTTGCTTTGGAAAAATAAAAACCCATATGTTGGGACTTTTTATGATGTTTTTATGGCTACATTTGGGAAATTCATGTATGCATGTATTCTATTAACTTTGTCATGTCATAATGCATGGTCAAATAAAAATTATCACGACAATTCATTTCTAAAATAAGCCTAAGACCAATTACAAACATTTTTCCAAGGAAACTAATTGAACTAATTTATATTTCTTTATCAAGTAATGCAAAGTTATATTTACTTAGCACCATTAGGCAAATGCATTTGTTTATAGATCCTTCACAAACTATTTCAATGCAATCCGGAACTGCTCTCATGTAAAATCCCCAGGAGGTTCTAGAAGGCTGAAATTGATAATAAAACCACTTGTCGATTTACACATGTTGCATAAGAGTTATGCTACATGATTCAACATCGGTGCACAGTAACACATTGGGAAAGACTGGCTTTGGTTTGGAGAGGTCCCAATGGCAGGGGAAATCTTCCGTTTGCAGTATATATGGGGCACATTGCTAGTACAAGCCCTAAAGTATCCCACTCAATTAAAAAGAACACCTCTCCTCTGCTTATGAAGTCAGGAACAGTCTTTCTTCTCATTCAGTTTTCCTATCTATGCTCTTCAGGAAAAAATAAAAGATCAACTAAAATTAACAGCACAGAAACTATGATATTAACGAGACAACTTCATTTCTTAACTCTAATTGTCTAGTGAAGTACCTGGTATGTCAAGAGTATTAAATATTTGTTGACATTTTGGTTAGAGTTAAGAATAATTCATTTAATTTTTAACCACTAAAACCTCTAACTTTAATTCTTTATCTTTCAGCTTCTTTGTGTTCTCTGCCTGTCATTCATGACTACCATTTTTGCTTTCGCTTTTCTAACCTATTCCTCCTTCACTCTGTAAGTGTGTTTTTGTACCATGGACTTCTCTTACCTTTGTCTTGTGTCTTGCCTACTCTATTGTGTTGAGAGATGTTAACACACTTGTTTTCCCACTTATTTTTATTTCCCTAGCTGCCAACTTAAGTTCCACTAAAACATAAAAATCTGCCAGTGTTGCCATAACTTCAGGCAAATCTAAATAACAAATAGTCACTTAAAATCCTCTGTTTCTCACAACTTGGTTCTGTATGTGGGACCAATTGTTGTGGACAAAATAAATGCTCTTCCTCGTTAGAGACCAGGGTTATAATTAAAGAACAGCATGTAGTCTCCTCCCTGAGGGTGTAGATTTGGAAATGTCAGATTTAAAATCCACCCGCCTGTTTCTTTGTAACAGCTTCCTTTCTATCTGTTTCCCTGACACCTTCCCTGATCCAGGACCCACTGATACCTGAGGGCCACCACGGTCAAAGGTCAGAAACAGCAGCTCTGACCTTGCCCAACAGTGAACTCTGGAAATTTCTATTGAGCAGTCTCATCCAAGTGATGAGGTGAGCTGTTCACCGACTCCACCTGTGATTTCAGGAAGGCAGAAATTGCCAACTCTCAATAACTTCTATAGCCTTCTTTCTCTTGACCAAATAAGCATTGAAGTTGCAACTATAAAACCAGAAAGGCATTAAGAAGAAAAGTAAATGCAAATGTCAACACTATTTTTCAATCCTTTTGCATTCTAAAAATTGTACACTTCTCTCTCTCACACAAAGGTGACAGACATATTCATAAGCACAGAGAAGCCACTCAAGTCACTTTCTCACATAAACCAAGTTCGTTCCAGGATAGAACTTTCAGGAACTGACTGAAACAAGAATGCTAAGTATTAGGAGATTGGATGCAGATTCATTTTACTGTAATTTCTAAAATGCTGATCCAAAGTCTTCCATTTCTTCCACAAATATTTATTCAGCACCTAACATATGTCAGACTAAGCCTTCTAGGCAAACAGATCAGTATAGTAAGTCCTCACTTAACATTGTGCGAAGGTTCTTGGAAACTGACTTTAATCAAAGTGACTTACAATGGTAGCAATTTTACCATGGGTTACTTGATACAGATAAGAGTTAAGTTCCTACAGCACGTTTCTGTTCACAAAAACATCACCGAACTTCTAAGTAAAGACCGTCAAACTCTTCTAAAATAAATGTAAGTTACACATACATTTAAGAAGTAAGAACAAAGTAAGAGAATTCTTTTCTAACTCACTATTCCAGTTCAGGGTCTTGGGGTCCAGAACCCACCCCGCAGCTTGGGGCTCAAGCATGGGATCCTGTCACCACCAGCAGGCCCTTTCTGGAACCACTTTGCTGCCTCCGCTCTGCTTTTCCCCTCCAACCTGAGTTTTAACCGCCACAGTAGTAAGTCCCATTGAGATGCTGGCTGTATGCTGGCTGTAAACTGAGCCCTTCGTGGAGGTTTTCTCATTTGATCTTCACAACAGCATTGTTCACAGCCTACTTGTGACCCCAATTCACAAATGAGGAAACTGGTGTTCATGTGGGGGTAGGGGGGTACCCATGATTCTTTCCTATAATACTGCCTGTAACCTCTCTCCCTCCAACTTTCATCCCTTTGCCCCTCTCTTCTCTCAGCCACTCTCATCTAGATAACAGTGTTGTTCCAGCAACCTGTGGGATTTCCTACTGCAGAAACTCTGAATTGAGAAGCTCAAATGCTTGCTGACTGTATTGCCTCTCCCTATACACCGAGAAATCTTCCAAAGCCCATTCAACATATTTACTCATGTAACGCAATGACCCTGAGAGAAATACTATTACCTCCTCAGCAGAAGATACTTCAACACCAAGAGGTAAAGGAACTTTCCCAGAATACAGAGTAAGAATCGGAATGAGGATTTGAACCCAGAATGTCCAGCTCTAGGACCTGCATTGCTATTCAGGCTTCATTTTACATGATTTAGCAGGATTAGCACAATTGATCCCTCAGCTGTTCTCAAAATCCTTTCTTCTGTTGGTTTCCAATCTATCTTACCTGGATCTTGTCCTACTTTTCTGACTGCCCCATCCCATTCTCCTTTGCTAGTTTCTCCTCGTCTTCCTGACTTCCAAAAGTCAGAGTGCCCTAGAGATCAGTCTTTGGACATGTTTTCTACACTCAGTCCCTAGATGACCTCATCCACTTTTACAGCTTAAATAGCTCTATGTAAATAGCTTACAAATCAATATGCTTTGTCTGGAACTCTCTTGTAAAATTCAGACTCGTATATTTAACTGTCCGCTCAACCTCTCTGTTGACTAGCCACGGCATCTCAAAACCAGCTTGCTGACAGCTGAGCTCCTGTTCTTCTTCCACAGACTTGCTGCTCCCTAACTCAGTTAATGGCAAGTCTATTCTTCCAGTAGCCCCAGCCAGAGCCCTGGATGTCATTCTTAACTTTTCATTTATTCTCTCACAACACATTCAATTCATCTGTAAAATATATCCAAGATTGGACAACTTCTCGTCACCCCCCTCACTATCACCACTCTAGTCCAAGTGGCTATTACCTCTTGCCTAGATGTTGCAATGGTTTTTCATTGGTCTCCCCTTGACTCCCCTGCCAACTTGAATGAAGGCAATGAGGCACCACCTTAAATGCAAAATTTAAGAAACATCGAAACTCTATAATCATGACAAAAGATATTTTAATGTAATATTTTTAAAAGCCATGATTTCAAATAGCAAAATTTTAAATAAAAACTGGACCAGATCCTGTCTTTGCATTACTCACCTCCTTTCCTCGCCTTAGTTCCAGTCCCAATCCCACTTGACTCCCTTCAAGTGTTCTCAACAGTTACAGTGATTCTGTTCAAACTTAAGTAAAATCTTAGTAATCTTCTGGCTTCAAATTTCAGAGCAAAAGCCAAAGCCCTTTTCATGAACTACAAGATCCTATGTGACCTGGTCGACCATTATCTCTCTAACCCCAACTCCCACTTCTTGCCTCATTCACTCAGCTTCAGCCTCTCCACATGGGCCACCTCACTATTCCATCAACAAGCTTGCACCTTACGGCCCCTACACTGGCCATGCCTTCTTCCTAGAATCCTCTCCCCCCAATACATCCCTCACTTCACCCAGGTCTCCACCCAAATTCACTCTGTGTAGACCACACTATCTAAAATCTCATCCAAGTGGAGCAGAGTAGCACAGTGGAAGCATGCTAGGCCCATAAAATTTCATCCCCCCACACAATTTATTTCACTTCATATTCCTCTTCCATTCTTCATTTTTTCCTCCTCAGAAATTACCATAAGCATTATCTGTATATATTACTAATGTATTTTATCATTTTACCTACTATATAACTCCATAAAATAATACAAAGCTGAGATTTTTGGAAGAGAGGGGTTTGTTTTGTTCTCTTTATATCCCCACGCTTCAAAAAATTCATGAATGATAGTAAGTACTCAGTAGATATCATAGCGTTTGAATGAAGATTCATAAATGCACATGAGTGCTTTCATTTAGCTTCAATAGTCTTAATGCCAGCTATGGATAGGTTTTTAATTCTATTACCTCAATAAATTACATCAGGAGCTACGCTTTCAAAATGCAGTTGCCTAAGATCTGAAGAATTCACAGAATGCTAACTTAGATAATGTATTGCAAAACCTTTATTTCAAATTGACCAACTTGTGAAACAAAAGTTTGGCTTGCTTAAAAAATATTTATCTGGGATTCAAGTTCCTGCCTTAGATTATCTAAGTTGGGAAATCGAGTTGCTTTTGAGAAATAAACATTGAATAACAAGTTTCTCTTATGGCAAATCCTGAATTTTATTTCCATGTTCTGATTTCCAATGATATTATATTAAGATGTTATACAGATTTTCTTATTTTCTTAATTTCACAGTGAAGCTGTGTATAATCAAAGGATCTTTGTTTTAAGATAGCTTTGATTCTCTTTACTAATTATTAACCAAAACTAAAGATAGGTTTTGTAAATAAAACTTGTTTCACCATGAACTGTTATCTCTTGATAGAAAAGATGAAGTTCAGCAAAGAGCAAATCTTCAGGGTAGCCAAAAGACCACAGACTTTGCCTGCAAACACCTGTAGGAACTCATGGCTAACATCATGGGCCCCATGTCCAGTCATGGCCTCCTGGCTCATGTAGGTTAAGTTTGACCCTATAGCAGAGTTTGAGTGTCCTGATGAAAAGACAATGCAGTAACACTTGAGAACAGGGCAAGAGTTAGATTTTGTCTTAAAGTCTAATTTTCTTTGTAAATCTTCAAAATGCCTTTTGTTGTTTTATGTTTTTAGATAATTTATGTGTGTGTGTGTGCGTATATATACACACACATATATTATATATATATATTAGATATTTCTATGACTGTATTCACCAGCAGGTTGGGATTATAAAGTGAAAACAGGCCTTGTTTCCATCCCCCACACCTTGTAGCATTGAGAGAAAGAGCATGTACACTATAAATGTGTCACTAAGGTACAAGTTCCACCCTGGGTTTTGACATGTATATCAAATCACTACTATCATAAAGATGCTTTTTAATTTGTCTTAGCCAAAACATGAAGTCAGGATTTTTTTTTCTTTTTAAATCACTGCCTTTGGAAAAGTACAAACACAGAAACTGGTACGTTAACTAACTGGGTTAGCTTATGCCCATAAAACACACTGCCCTAAAGCTGGGCGGAGGGTGGAGCTGACATACGGACAGCACTAACTCAATACTCCTAAAGAGAAAGAATGAGTGAGAACTAAATTGACCTGGGTCAGAAGCAAGCAAGAATTATTAGAAAGGTCAAGGGCAAGAATGGACATGCTTAATATGAAGAGCATAAAACTGGTCTGTCCCTATAACAGCTAATTGGTATTATCTTGCTGGAATCTCTTTCTTTCTTTTAGTTTTTAAAATTATATTGAAAATATTACTTTGTAAATGATGTTTGCCTATGAATTTGGGGACTTTTTAATTCCATTATTTTAATAATACTTTGAAGCTATGTTTTACTGAAATAATCGCCTCACCTTCTTCATTTTATCTGGTCACCCAAATTTTGGCCCAGTGTCCTATATTATAAATTCATTCTGAATCTTTAAATGACAATAAAAATCAGTACAGGAAATCTCAATACACAGGACAGAAAAGCTTTTAAAGGGCCCATTGTCAGATGTGTTAGATTTGCATTTGATTCATAAAACACGTTTCCTCAGTCTTGGCTGGCCAGAACCCATGAAACACAGTGAAAACCAGCACAGAAGCTTCGCTGTGCCACCACACTCGAACCCAACAGTTCGCTCCCACTGTGCGCACGGGAGAGCATAGTGCAGAGTGCAGTGCAGAGCCTCGCACCACTGCAGCCTGGAACATTCAGCATGGCCATCACCTGGCCCTGGGACCCTGTGCATTTGAACAACCATCACATTTGGAATGGGTTTCAAATCATGTACCCAAATAGAATGCATAAACAATAAAATGTGGAAATTGCATATTCATATCAACATACAAAAGTATGGACGTGTGTAAACTTTAATTTCTTAGATTTTTACAAAGGGCCTCACGTCTGCTGTTGAGTCCTCTGTGTGGTATATGATCCAGTTGTTAGTAAGCCCTTCCAACACCACTCATAATTCCACTGTTCTTGTTTTGTTAAAACCCAGGTGACATTTTTATTACCTCAAGTAGTTTGTGTGATGACCCCTGTATATCTGCCACCAGCACACTGTTTTAGAAATTTATCTTTGGTTAACACAGAACAGGTAATTGAAGCTAAAACTCTCGGGATTTTGGTAGCTTGTACTAGTCGATTGATTAAGTAACAGAGCCCTCTTCCCCCATCTGCAAGGACCACTCTGCATATTCTTTTAACTGACAAGAGCTAATTTGTGCTTTAAGCACTTGGTAACATTCTGAGGTGACTGGATTGAGAATTATTGATCTGCATTCTAACTGGGGATGAGATATTACTCATTTTTGACTTGTAAATTTCAACTGAAATCAAACGTTTTTAAAAACTCTTCCTTAATAAGAGTATTTAACTGGCCTAGTTTGTGTGTGGCTGTTAGTTGCTTTAACCTTGATGACTCGTTTGCAGAGAATGTTCCTAAAGATGTCCCTCATGGAAAGGACAAGTTCGGACTTGGCAACAGCAATTTACTTAATTTATCTTAAATTTGGTTTCAGTGAGCAACCCTAATTAACCTGATTTTTTGCTGATAATCACTCTCAATGGAATCAAATCACAAATCCGGGGATGGATTGAGCGGCAGCCAGAAGGAAGCAGCCCTTCGCGCACTGGTCCGGCGCACAGGATATAGCTTGGTCCAGGTAGGCACTTCTTCTGACGTGTGCTGAGACCCACAGAACTCAGTGCCGAGACACTGAATTCCCAGTGAGACTATCCGTGGTCTTAAGATGCAAAATGGGAACGGTCAGTCGTATAACTCTTCAGGTGGGTGTTCCTTTCCAATGGGGGAGGAAGTCGCATCATTTCAGTTGTGCACGCGCCCCTGCTGGTGGTGTTCTTCCTGCTCTTGGTTATCAACTCAACTTTAACTTGTCACTTGCAAATGAAATCAGTGTCCACAGTCATAGAGACTATCGCAGTTTTTAAAGGCGATATCAGTACAGGGAAAGGCAGCTGAAATTTATGGTCCAAAGATGGTGAAGTAGAACCAAGCCAGTGTTTCAAGTATCATCAGAGAACAAACCGTCCAGGCAGTATCTTTGGTTTCCAAAGAGTTCATTGCAGATGCAGGAGGACTTACTATTCCAGTTATTTCTCATAACATCAACTCAATAGTTTAGGATACGGTAATATTTTTCTATTAGGCTCACCACTTTTTAAAACAATCCTAAATTGTCTATTCACAGATGTTAGTTGTTAAGAATCATCTGTATATTATTGTCTTTATAATAACTTCCTTGAGAGAGCTTTTCTTTTTTTTTTCTTTTTTTTAAATTTTATTTAGTTATTTTTCAAGTACAGTTTTTTGTCTATTTTTCCCATCCCAGCCTCCCCTGCCCCTTGCTCCCCACCTCCCTCCCATTTCCTCCCCCCCCCCTTAGTTCTCGTCCCTGTGTCCTTCCTATTTGTTCCTCCTTAAATGTAAGTCATAACACCATTAAAGTCCTAGAGGAGAACATTGGCAAGAAAATCTCAGATATTTCACGCAGCAACTTCTTTACTGATATGTCCCCTAGAGCAAGGAAGGTAAAGGAAAGAATAAACAAATGGGATCTCATCAAAATAAAAAGCTTCTGCATGGCTAAAGAAAACAGTATTAAATTAGCAAGACAACCAACTGTATGGGAAAACATATTTGCCAATGATACCTCAGACAAAGGTCTAATCTCTAAAATATACAAAGAACTTACACGACTCCACTCTAAGAAGACACCCAACCCAATTAGAAAATGGGAAAAGGACTTGAACAAACACTTCTCCAAGGAGGACATACAGAACATTCAGAGACACATGAAGAAATGCTCAATATCGTTAGCTATCAGAGAGATGCAAATTAAAACCACAATGAGATACCACTTTACACCAGCCAGGATGGCTATCATAAACAAAGCAACAAACAACAAATGTTGGAGGGGGTGTGGGGAAACGGGGTCCTTAGTTCACTGTTGGTGGGAGTGCAGACTGGTACAACCATTATGGAAAACAGTATGGATTTTTCTCAGAAAAATAAAAATCGACCTGCCTTTTGACCCAGCAATTCCACTGCTAGGATTATATCCTAAGAATCCTAAAACATCAATATCAAAGAACCTATGCACCACAATGTTCATAGCAGCACAATTTACAATAGCCAAGAGTTGGAAGCAACCTAGGTGCCCATCAGTAAATGAATGGATCCAAAAATTGTGGTACATATACACAATGGAATTCTATGCTGCAGAGAGAAAGAAGGAGCTACTACCCTTTGCAACAACATGGATGGAACTAGAAAGCATTATGCTGAGTGAAATAGGCCAGGTGCTGAAAGACAAATACCATATGATCTCACCTTTAACAGGAAGCTAAACAACAAAACAAACAAGTAAGCAGAAAAAAAAACCCCAAAAAAACAAAGACACTGAAAAAGAGAGAGCTTTTCATATATTTAAAAGCAAACTACTATCAGACATATAAATAATCTTATTTGAAAAAATAATGTTGCTCTTATTTCAGTAAGAGTAAGTATTGTAATTCTCAGAAATTTGATCATCCTGCCTCCCCGCCCCCAGTTTTCCAATTTAACCAAATCCCTGTGTTGTGAATACTGATGCCATATGGGGATAACACTAAAATAGGCAGCAGCGACCCCTCATCACATGGTCCTGTCAGATCGCTGCAAAATGTACCACATTTAGTTTTCACCTGACGTTGTAAGTCACGGCCTGCCTCGTTAGAGATAATGCTCAATGTTGTTTCTAATGCTTCATCCTAATGAGGAGCTTTTCATTACACTTTAAGATTTCACAAAATATTATTTCTTGATAGTGTTTTCAAAGTTTCATTGATGTCAAGGGCAAGGGCAATAGTAATGGATTATTAGTTTTTTAATAGTTAATAAAAGTTAAGTTATTCTAGATGTTTTTATCTCCATGTTTAGTGTACTTCAAAATTAATGACTGGCTGAAAATTTTTGTGTGGCTTTTTACCCCATTAAGTGGTATTTTTTAATTCATAGAGATTTGACCCAGTACAGTTGAATAGGGGGAATGTTTTCCTTTCATATTCGACCCCTCCATAGACATTATAATATCAAATATTGTTTTTAAGTCAGTATAATCTTAAAAATGTCTCTATTTGGAACATTCCTGCAAAGACAGTGGTATTGGAAAGCATTTAAACCCTTTTGAAATGTAATTTGTCAATATTTATAAGAATATTCCCCTTCTGTAAACAAATCTCTGATGTTCCAAAATATAATGACAGAAACACATGTAAACCTGGCTATTCTGGTGTTATTTATAATACTTCAATATATCAAACCTAAATGTATAAAAGGAAATTATTAAGTTATGAAAATATAATCAATACATCCAAGAAGCATACTTTTACAAGAAATAACCCTAAAGCAATATGAATTGCCTGTTTAATTTTATTCTGGGCCCTGGTGCTTCCTTCTCCCCCAGATAAAACTCAGAGGAAGTCTGATGACTGTTCTGATAACTTTCAGGTAATAAAAAGGTCTCCGCTCTTTTTTTCAGTCCAGTATAGTAAAAAACAACTTCATTCAAAGTTATAGCCATTTCCCCTTCCCAACTACATCTAGGCGGAGTGCGATTTCTTTTTCATTTTCCTCCCTTATGCTTTCAGAAGCATAGTGTCTATGCCAGTTCCCTAACTGTAATTCCTGACTCAGAGCTGGAGCAGAAAACAGGAATAAGAGCAAAGGAAAAGAGACAGGAAAGTTCTTACTTGACTGATAGTGGCCTTAGGCTCTCTGAGCCTGGCTGGTATGTAAAGCTCATGAGATGCATTATAGGGCCATCAGAACCACCCTTAATTCCATGGCTGGGGATCTCTCACCTGGCTACACTCTCCTCTGGCTGGCCACTGTCCTGAGCCTGGGCCTCCTTCTGCAGAGCTTTTTAAACTCTAAGAAGCTCTCTTGGAAGAGAGGAAACATAACCCCAGATTCCAACACATGGTCAGACTCTATTCCCCTGGAAACACTCACATACTCTCTGACCCCAGCAAACTCTGGAAGCACAGGTGACACAAAGGAACCAGCTCTCCCTCTCACCAAAATCAAAGCAGCAGGCCAATGCACTGCTCACCAGTAGGATCCCAGCAATGAACTCGACCCCCAGCCTAGAGTGTTCCCTAATGCAGAGAACTCCTATGAAGCTCCCTGAGTGATTTCCTAGGACCTCTCTCCCCTGCTTAGGGAAATTGAGAAGCACCTTGCAATTCCTTCCATTAAGGGGTAAGCAGGACTCACAACACACCAGAGAGTGGTCTCCAAATACTTTGAATAAATTCCAAAAGCTCCTCTCATACCCTTCAATCTCACTTCTAAACTGCAGCATAGAAGAGGGGCAGGTATTCATTTAAGAATGTAAAAACAGTTAAACAGTTTCCTCTACCTCTTTGTCCTGCTTGGTGGTCCAGTGACTTGGTTTCCTACTCAAACCAGAGGCCAGAGGAGACCCATTCTACCTTAAAATCCCGTTACAGATGAAATTGTATTCAGTCATTAAATGATCATTTAAAATATTCTGCAGGACAGAAAATTGTAATGTTATTATTACAGCTATGTAAGAAACTTGCAAAGAACAATATTTTTAAAAGAGACCTCAAGCAACAAAGGAGATCATTTTACAAACCTAATGTTGTGTTTTAAGAACATTTGCATGATAAAGGAAAAGACCTAGAGGACTATGCAACTTTATAATGAAATGTTTTCAAATAAAATACCCCTAAAATACATGGCCAATTTGTATATTACTTCAATCTCATATATTCAATTACATTGAGAAACTGTGAATAAGGATTTAGAACACATGTTAATAACAAAATAACAGTGAGTGTTTTTCAGGCACTTATATTCTAACTGCTTTTTGTATTACTTTACAAAAAACAGGAGATGTTTGTGTGATTATGTGCCGTATTGTATTTAACATGTGGCCGAAGACAACTCTTCTTCTTCCAGTGTGGCCAAGAGATGCCAAAAGGTTGGACACCCCTGTTATGGTCACCTTCAATTTCCAGATAAGGAAAACAAGGCACAAAGATATTAGGTCACTTGCTGGAGATATAAAGGCTAAAACTCCAGTGTTATTGGCCAAAATGTCTGACAAGATTTACAAAACTGAGAGCTACTATGTTATCTTTAAGGCTGCAATTTTAGAGGTTAGCCTGTTAGGGCATTCTAACAATATTTTCTTGAGCCTGAACTTTGTAACCTAAGTCACTTACAATAACACTTATTCGTTAGCAGAATGACTATTAGATCAGAAAGTTGTCCAATCATGTAGAAAACTAAAACTCTAAAACCTAGTTACCTAGATCTACAGCCTCTAATCAAGATTTAAATGTTTACATGGCTCAGGTTCAATCATTTTGAATTCATTAGAAACTCCCTACTGATTTTGGCTGCAAAGGGCTGAAAATCACCCAAGAGTTCAAATTAAAGATGGTAGAGACTGCTCTGTACCACATACAAGGTGCATAATTTTGAGTACAGCCTTTAACCACGCTAGAGCTTAATTTCCCACTGGATTACCCAGGACATCCCCACCCTATCCTCCATCATTGCATAGTCTGATCGTTGGTCAGCAAACTGCACTGATGAGTTGGAAGAAGACCAGCATATACTGAAACACAG